TTTTCTCACCAGTTTAAGAATAGGCAGCAGATGCCGTGACAGCGACCATTGTTCCCGGTAGACACAGGCGATCGGGCAACCTCGGCCCGCGTGCGCCAGGCGCGTCCCCCAGCCGGGCGGGTTTTTTACAACTCCTGTTGTTTCGGAGCCGCCCGCACGCACCCTCGCCCCCTCGCCCCCTCGCCCCCTCGCCCCCTCGCCCCTCGCCCCTCGCACACCCCCACATGCTCACACACACCCCCTCTCGCGCTCACATACACACACTCGGCCGCTCTCAGTAATTTTTCATAAGTGCAAAGCTTTGCTGAACCAAAGGTCACCATCCAAGCCACTAACAACTTCTCGCCGGCGCGCGGTTCCAAATCAGGAAGCAAAGGGAACTATTTGTCAGCGGCCCTGACAGCTAAGTTCATTAAGGATTTAAATCCGAAGAAATAAAAGTCGCCAAAATATTTACCTGCTGGCCGCGCTCCCGCGCCCGCCACTGGGGGCCGAGGGTGGAGGGCTGGGGGCGCCGCGCGGCCCCCCTCGGCGGGTGATATTCTTGGGATCCCTGCACTTTCCAAGTCGGAGAGAGCCCTTTGCGTGGCAGATTAATGACGACTCCGTGTTTCTTAAGGGACGTGCTGAATTAATTATTTCGCCAATCACGTGGTCGGGACTTGTAGAAATCTATTCTTATCATCTTCCTCGCACTTTGAAAATTCTCCGGGTTATGAAAGGCCCTCCCCCGGCTGCCGGCGAGCCCCGGCCGCCCAGCCAGGCGCGGGGGGCAGGGAGGGCTCCCCAACATGGCGGGCGGGCGGGAAGCGCCGTCTGCCGAGGGTCCCGATTTACTGTACTGTACTCAAGCGGGCTCGGCTATGGACTCGCTTCCTCCTCGTCCCTGCCGGTGATTCAATACACACAGCGGTATTGATGTATTGGTGGGCACAGGAGGAGCCATTAACCAGAAGACGGGCAGAGGACAATCATAAAATGTGTCTGAATATTTAAACTTCTGTCTGCACACTTATAAATACACATGTCCACGCGTCTGAGGCGAGCCCTTCCATATATTAAGGACACATGTCTGATTTTATGCATTCTGCTCATTTCCTGTCGCGAGCAAGGCCCCCCCCCCCCAGCTATTTTGGGACTCCTGTCTTGGCCCACTCTTCAAGGCGAGGCAAAGACGAGAGAAAGCCCTCGCGGAAAAAAAAAAATAGCGCACGCCACTTTTTATAGTGGGGAGTGTTTATTGTCGTCTGGAGGGCAGAGGGGGCTCCAGGGGAAGGAAGGGCAGGTGCTGGAGGCCCCAGTGGGGCTGAATAGCACAGGAAAAGTAGGAGTCCAAGATTGGAGGCCAGAGGGGTCTGGTCCTAGTAGACACTGACTGGCCAGTCCCAGCTTGGCCCAGAACCCAGCACTCTTCCAGAGTTGGGGTGGGGGGTCGTGCAGGGAAGTCTCTCACCCACCACAAAACAAAGAGAGACTGAAGGGGTCTGGGGCTAACCGGGGCCACACAGAGAGCCAACCTGGAGCCTCCTTTTGGCCTAGGAAGTTACTTATTTTCCTTTCAAAAAATAATGCCCTGCAGCATTAAGCATCCAAGCTTAGGCTGCCCAAGGCTCACAAAATATGGTGGCCAAATTGGGAGCGTGTATGTGTGGGGGACAGGTCAATGACAGATTTGCTAACCCTTACACAGTTTAACCTTCACATGTCAGGCACAATGCAGAAAATAATAAAATAAATGGTTTATATTGAATGTTAGCTTCTAGAAGACTTAATGAAGAATGCTTCTGTGGAGGCACCAAACAGGATGGAGATTTCGCTACACCTTTTATTATTTCAAATATAGATCAATGAATTACATCAAAACTACAGGCAACAATTAGTATAAATAATACTTTAATCAGTGGCAGCAGAACATTGGTCAATTCTATTAAAAAAGCATCTTGTGTGAACAGACACCATGGGGCTGACTGACAATGTCATCTCCCAACAAAAGGCTGCAATGGACAAAGTGAGATGGGAGTCTGAGGAGCAATGTCCTCAGTAAACACTTCACTCCTCCCCAGTCACGACCCCAACACAGCTTTAAAAACAACAACAACAACAACACCAAAACAAACACTTCTGGCTCATATTTGGGGGAACAAACTGGAAACAAATAAAAGCAAATGGGCACTGCTCCTTTCCACATCTAGGTTTCTCCAGAGTACGTTCCCAGATGGAAACTCATTTCCTTCCCTGCCCTTTGGTGGTGGTGGTTGGGGTGGGGGGAGGCACTGCTTCTTCCCTGCCCCACTCCTGTGGGCCCAAATGGACGCTGGGGTCCAATTGGGACCACGGGGTTGAGGGCTGCCCCCTGGGCCATCCAGGCTCCATTAACATTTCAAAAGACAATCCCTGGAAACTGAGGAGAACTGAGACTTATAAACAAAGAAGTTGTTTCTCTGATTAAGTTACTTTTCAAAGTAGTGAGGCTACGTTGGAGAAGGAGCTTGGGTTTTCTTCATCAAAACATGCCTCTTGGCTTTCCTCTGGGGCATGGGTGAAGGCAGCTATGCAGTTTTGGCATTTGGTCTGAAGCTGGGGTGAATAACCTGAACTTCTGGGAAGGGGGAAATCTATATAATACTCTATAATATATATGTAATTGGGTGTTGTGAAAATATATACTTTTTCCCCCTCCCAAGGAGAAGGTTCAATATATTCACAGATTTGGGCCTTAGGAAAGAATCTTAGCAACTTTCCAACTTGCCTAACCATAGCGGCTCTTTTCAAATGCTACATCCAAAGACTGCTCTCCATGTTAGAGGGGGAAAAAAAGAAGAGAAGGGTAGTTAGAGTCCAAAAGGTTAAGGGTTTAGAGGTCAGTCCTCCCAGCTGAAATACAGCTAATCGAATAGAAAATTTGTCCTCTGGATGAACCTGATTCTGTAATTTAGCCGAACTTCAGTAAAATACCTTTTCAGCTTCTCAACGTGAGGGCGTCAGAAAAAAGACGTCTTGACTATGTATGGACTCTTTGCTTTTTGTCATAGAAACAATGATGCGAATAATGCAGGAATATCCATCTTTAATATCCCGACGTGGCGATATTCAAGTATTGCCATGTGCAAGTCTGAGAGCCAGGCTCACCCCAAGGAGGAACAAAGAGCTGTCCCCAGGGTCTAATACAAAAGACCAAGGCTTGGAAGATACTTTAGAGAAGTGGAATTTCAGCCTAGGGACTCCAGTGAATACCTGCTCTCAGCTCTCAGGAGACACCAAAGAACATGCGTGCAGAAAAACTCTTTTTTTCTCCCTCCACCTAAATATATTTACCTAAATATATTTAAAAAAATTACCTCCACACCTTCTAAAGTGTTCTGAAGCACTAAAAAAAAATAGCTCCAGTTCTGAATCTCTCTTTCAAGCTCATCCCTTTCCCCCCCACCCCCTTTTGTCACTTTTCCGTAGCTACAACCAGGGGTTTCTTTTTGGAGCCCGAGGCTTTGGGGTTTAAACTTCCAAAGTCTTGTTTCATTTGAGTATATGAACTCTGGCGATTACCTTTGACTCTTTCCCCCCTTATCCTTAAGGGTCAGCATTTTAGAAAAATGAGCTTTGAACGCTTCTCAGGCAAGGCATAAGAAAAATGACTGAAGAACATCACTCTTGTTGTTTGAGAGTGATTGTTCTTAAACCACCATTCTTTAAGGCAAGGAAGAGGGCCTGAAACTTTTATACTTTTACAATTTTTGCTTCTAATTCATATCTTGAGAAAAACTTCCTTACATCTGTTTAAAAAATAAAAACTTCAGGAAAAAAAGAACCCCTAAGACCAAGTTTTGTGGACTTCTAGATTCAATTAGTTCTCTCTCTCTTTTTTAAAGCAAGATTCCCCTACTTTCCCACTTTCTCCCCACTACACACCCCCTCTCCCATATAGGCCGTACACCAATTCCTATAAGAAAACTGCTCTATGGGTTATTTGAAATCCAGCATTTGGAATCCAGTTGGAACAGAAAATTCAGTCATTATCTCATGACCCAGAACATAGAGGTTTTGTTTTCTTTCCCCAGAAGGAAAAATGTTGGACCATTTGTTTCTTTCTTTTCCCTTTTCTTTAATCACCCAGAACTAGTTGTAAGCACAGTGCTGAAAAAAGCACATATGGAAATATATTTTCAAGAACTCAACTCTGAGTGGACCCTTTGCTTCCTTCTAAAAGGGTTAAGGGCCCCCAACACACATTTCCGGGGAGTGGGGAGGGGGGTGGAGTTCAAAATGCCGGTTAGAGCCAGAAGTTAGTCCACGCGTCTCTGATTCTCCTCCCTGAAACTCAGCCCCTTTCACCCTCTCAAGATTTTTGGCATTAAGATGTCAGTTATTTCTGTTGCCCATCCCCCAACAAATAAATACTTAAGCAAATATAATCTAAACATAAAATAACCCGTTTCCACTTTCTTCTTAACTCATTTCTTTGGGCATGGGGCCACTGGGAGCAAAATACTTTTTCTCACACTGGAAATTATACAGATAACCGAGAAAGTTCAGAAATCCTGGCCCAGCTCTCCTGTTTCCACTGAAAGCACCTAGCACAGGGGTGGCCAACCTTCTGCCTCAACTCCCCCACATTATTAAACCACAAAGATCCCTGGAGGGGTGGGGTGGGGGAGGAGGTTCAAATTCACGCTGGGATAAAGTATCCAACCTTCATTTGCAAATTCAAAATCCAACAGCAGAGGTTTTCATAAGTTTAATAACTCACCAAGGTTTATGTTCTCAGTAGCTCCTGCCATATGAGAATGTACTCAGAGAATCCCGCCCCCCCTGCCACCCCCATCCCGCTCCAGGGAGGGGGCTGCCCTCGGGCAGGATGCTAACCTAGTCCGAGGGCGGCCTGCGTGTCCCAGGTCCACCCCACAGTACCTTAGAGCCCAGGGAGGTGACAGCAAGCCCGGCCTGCCCCCGCAGCTTCGGCTCAGCCGGGAGCGCAGGGAGGAACGGGCCCGGGGTCCCCACGTCTATAAGGTGGTCAGGTCCGTGTGGTGGTCCTTGGCCAGCGGCTGCAAATGTTGGCCGGGAGCAGCTGAGGAGGAGCAGGAGGAGGAGGAAGAGGAGGACGACGAGGACCTGCCTTTGGTGTTGGGCAGCTTGTGGTCTTTTTTCCACTTCATCCTTCGGTTCTGGAACCAGATCTTGATCTGGCGCTCGGACAGACACAGGGTGTGAGCAATTTCAATCCGACGGCGCCGCGTCAGATACCTGTTAAAATGAAATTCCTTTTCCAGTTCTAGGACTTGCTGCCGGGTGTAGGCCGTCCGGGATCGCTTGGGCTCCCCGCCAGTGTAGTTGGGGTTCACTGCGAGACAAAACAGACAGCACGGTCAGGTCAGCTCCCAGCCACTGTTAGGCCCCTCGCCACTGCCGCTTACTTCCTGGCGCGCCCCGAGGCCCCGCGGCCCTCCCCGCACACTCCCCAGCCGGCTCCCTTCCTCCCTCCCGCCCTCCCGTCCCCCCTGCCCCGCGCACGCACACACGCGCGCGCGCACACACACACACACACACACACACACACGCTCACTCCCACCCACCCTCACACCCAGCAACTCCCCCAGGCTCCCGGGCGGGGATCCCCAAATGTGCTCCCATCTCCCCGGCCCGGCCGCCAGCTCCAGAATTCCCAAGCATTTAGAAATCCCCCTCTCCTCTACCAGGTTCCCTCTGCTCTGAAAATGGAGTCCTCCCCCACCCCACCCCCATCTCCACCCCCTTTTTCGCCCACAGCCAAGCAGCCAGCCACATGGTCCCGGCCTGCTCCCTCAGCTATAAAAATTTATGGAGAGAGTAATTGCGGCGCCCATTGAAGCCCCACACGCCCCCACCCACTCGCACCCCCTCCCAGGGGCCCAGGCCTCCAGGCTGGGGTGGGGACTGAGAGGTCGCTGGGCTGTGCCTTACCGGAATTCACGTGCACCTTCTTCATCCACGGGTAGACCACAGCGGGCTGCTTGAGTGCCGTCCCGGGGGGCGGCTGCTTGGGGCCGCCCGGCTGGCTGCAGGCCCGGGCGCTGGGCACGGGCGCGGGCGGGGGCGCAGGGGGCGCGGGGCACGGCTCTCCTGGGGCTCCGTAGTGGCCGCCGGGGCCACTGGCTTCTTGCCCGTGACCCCGTGTGGGCAGCGCGGAGCCGGGCCCAGGGCCACCGCCTCCGAAGGTCTGCTCACCGAAGTCGGGCCGTGGGTAGAGCCCCGGGGGCTGGAAGTCTGCACCCTGCACGCCACCGCCGTAGTAGTCGGCGCCCTGCTCGCCTAGGTAGCCGCCCTGCAAATATTCCTCGCACGGAGGGAACTTGGGGTCCACATACTTGGAGTTCACCATATACGAACTCATGGCCATTAATTTCAGAAGGTAGAAAATACTAATTTTTCTCGTGTTGTCTTTTTTTCTCCTTCCATAGGGCCCTCCTACTTGCTGTCAACTGAATAAAGTTGGCGGCCATGTGACCAGGCCAGCCAATAGCGAGGGAGCGAGTTTATCACCGGGTTGGTGAGCATCTCATAATTTTCACAAATTTAACTAAATAACATACGTGTAATCAAGTGACTCGCCATGGCACATTTGAAGGCCCCCACCAGATGTTAATGTAGTTCTCTAATCCCCAGCACCCTCATTCCTGGCAGGTAATCCCAGCTTTTGTCTGCCACCGACTTTGTTAACCTCGAGGGCCCTCTCCACGCACCCCCACCTGAAAACAGCCCCCCAAAATGGGCACAGTTCAATTGGGGGGAATGAAACCCCAAATCTGTCAGGCTGCAGAATACCACCAGGCGGGTGGGTGAGGCAGCCTCTGAGTTAGGCGGAGTACCCCAGGCAGGCAGGGCTCCCGCCCGCGGGAGCGGGGACTCTGCCATACAAAGGCCGAGTCCTGGCTTTGTCTTCGTCAGGGTCACCCAAAAGTTACAACAATCTGGCTGGCCTGAATCAAATCAGGCAATGAGTAACTGCCAAGCTTTCTGTGAGTGCCCAGGCTGGAGTGTTGCTAGCCCAAGCCGGTCTTGCAGGTATGGCAAGACTGTTACCCGCCTCCCCACCCCCAGCTCATGCAGGTGAAGGGTGGGCCTGGAAGGTGGTGATGGCACCCCCACGTCACCCAGATGGGCTCCAAAGGACCCTGCACTCCTTCGTCCTAAATGGCCTTCTTCCCACATGGCGATCAATGACCAGTGAGCCCCCTCACTGGGCACCCTCTGACCTCACCTCATACTCCTTCAGGGCAGAATTGGGGTTTGGGGGCCTTCCACCCTGCTCCCCAGTCCCCCAAAAGCTAGCCCTTTGGCCTCACATTCATGCAACCAATTAAGAGTTTACATGGGAGCCTCTGCGGGGCTTCTCGAGGCAAAGACTCCACTATGGCATCAGGCTCAGTCCATCCTCCTGGAGTCTAAGGTAATAAAACAGAAAGAAAACTGACCGGCGCCCGGCTGCCTCTGGCCTCTGCTTCCGACTATGGCTATTTCGGAGAAACGTGAAGTTTTTGCATCGACCATATATTCCCCTAGAATCGAATCTGTGACTATGTGGCTACCACACAAATTCGGTTCTACAGGGTATATATAGACAACGTTACTAGCTCCGGGTTCCACCCAGAGTGGGTACCCAGACCGCTGGCAGCCCCGGCCTCTTCCTCGGAGCCATCACCAGCCCGACGCAGCTCCTCGAACTTTCAGAGAGGGTTCAGGTAGCTTGGAGAGCTTGGTGAAAATCTGCAGCAACGAGTTCCCCATTCTTGTACCAGGGCTGGCGTGACTGAGCAGCCAAGGAGAAGGGACAGTCTTCTTAAGAAAGAAAGACAAGAAAAGAAGAAAAAAATAATCCATCCCGGAAATGGCGGCTTTATTACCCCCCCTCCAGATCCAGATAACCCCCCCCCTTATCAAGTGGTATTTTCCTGAAAGGTGCAAACGCCCTCAGTGGCAGAAGAAACGACGCAAGAGGGGAATATCCCCCACCCATTCTTTATTCCCCAGTGCGGGGGCAAGCCAGGTTGGCTGACAAAGCTCATTCTCCCAGAAGTCTCACATTTACCTTCCTGGGCCCTGTGTCGGGCTGGCCGCTCTGTCCCGCTGCTGCAGACCCCGCGGCAGGCACTGCTTGCAGGCACCGAGCTGCCCTGGGCTGGGGTCGGCGCGCTAATGGTGAAGGGCAGGGCGAGGGGTCATTCGAAATCATTTACAAACATATCACAAAGTTTCATTATTTCTGCTTTGCCGACAGCAGCACACAAGAGTACAAAAGTTCAGGAATTGCACCCGCCCCAGCGCCTCAGCGCCGTCTAGGGCTCAACCCCCGGTTTGGGGCACGAAGAACACAGACACACTCAGGGCCCGGATGGGCTTCAGGGGCAGAAGGATGCCCGGGCTCAAGAGGGGCTTTTGGATCTCTGACCATAGGCCAGAGGTGTTAAAATTTTTTTTTTGATTGTTTTGATTTTCTCCCTTATCATTCAAAAATTAGTTTCAGCCTTATCCTGGATCTGGTGGGGTAGGGCAGGGACACTCTCCTCTGTCCCCCAGCCTGGCAAAATTGGCTCCCTGCTTCTACTCTGCACTTTGGACACTCCCCACCCCACCCCCTCCATCCTTTGGTTCCAGGGCTTCTCTATTTTGTAGGTATTTCCTGGGTGTCAAATCTAAGGAGAGTCTGAGGCTGCCCCACACCAAATTCCCTTGTTCAAGGGGGGGGTTCCCCCTCAACTTCCCCTAATGCCCAGCGCTCCCACACACCCACCTGCCTGGGGACACTGGGCCTAGGCTTTACCCACACAAATTGGGGGAGGCTGCTGGGCTGGGTGGGGACCCGGGTGAGGGTACACATTTTCATATTTGTTAGACGCTGTGACCTGCATTTCACCTTACTGCTCCACTTGTTCAGACAGGTCAAAGCCAACGAGTTATTGATGAACAAAAGCGTTAAATATTCACCTCCCGCTCAACTGCCCATACAAATGCTTTTGATCTCTCGGGCTTTTTGTGCTGTGTTCAGCTACAGGGTGCCGAATGTGGGTTTGCAAGCGAGGAGCACTGGCAGAGATAAGCACCCAGAGCAGGGGCAGTGGCAGGAAGGGGGCAAAACCAGGGTGTCCTGGGGACACCAGATTTTCCAGCCTGGAGCCCAGAGCTGGTTTCATTTGGGCCAGCCTGATTAATAGAGAGGAACTATGAACTGGGCAGAATCTCCACTTCTGGGGAGGAACACAGCCCCCAGGAAGTCAACCAGGCTGCCCACCCTGGGAGGGCAGAGAAACCTGGCCCAGAGCCAAGCCCTAGCGGGGTCTTCCAGCCTGGAGAAAGGGTGTCTCACCAGAGAGCAAGCGTGCCTGGCTTCTATCGCCCTCCTACATTCCATCCCCATTAAAATAATCTCCATTTTGCAGTGAGGGAGGCGTCACTGTTTCTTCCTTAATTCTTCTGCCACTACCATCACCTTAATGAGATACTCTTCCTGGAGATTTCACAGGCCGCCTCAGAAATGTACCTGTCTTCCGCGGCACAGGCAACTCAGAAAGATCCAAACTTCTGAGCCCAGGTCCCCAAAAATCTCTGCCCCCCACCGCAGCCCTACCACCACCACCACCACCACCACCACCACCACCACCACCACCACCACCACGACGTTTGCCTGCAACACTAGCGGCTCTGGCGCGAAAATTCTCGAACTGCAGTTCCAGAGGAGCAGAGGTGAACCAGCAGGGTCGTATCCCTCCCGCCTTGCTCAGCCCTTGTCCCCAGCCCAGAGCCCAAACCTCTGGGGCTGGGGCGGGGGAGGGGCGGGGAGGGATTTCCACCTAAAGCTCAGAATTCGCAGCCCTTCCCGGAAGCAGACCAACTCCACATACCCGCAGCCGTACAGGGTTACGTTTTTCTTTCTTCTTTATTAAAAACAAAACAAAACAAAACAAGAGAAGAGAAGGTTGGGCCAGGCTGGACCGGGTTAAGCTAGGCTGGGCTGCGGAGGGGAATCGCGTTGATGCGGCGTTTAGCAGGCTGGTTCGAGCAGATAAGCGATGCTCGCCGAAACTTGTTAATAGGGCGGGCTGCTAATTAGCTGCAAGCTCTTAACAGAAGCGCAGGGCAGCAGCGGAGTTGCACCTGTGCGAGCTGGGGAGGCCTGGAGAGGCCCAGGAGACAGGGGCGAGAGCCTGCGGTGTGTTCTCTTGGTTGGGTGACTGTGAACTAGGCCCCAGAAAATCTATCCAGGAGCACAACTTAGAGCCTCCACTCCCAAAGAGAGCTCGCCTCGCACCGGCCGCCCTTCCACCCGCCCAGTCTTCTGGCGCGGCCCTTCCGCCAACACCTCCCCAGTTACCAATACCGCCTCTTCGCAGTTCGGAAGAAACGGGAAGGTACTTACAGCGGCAGTCTCTCACGGCCCCGAACCTGTTGCAATGAAAACGGGGGTCACTTAAATTCCACAGGATAATAAAGCAGAGATAGAGGATACACAGAAAAATGACAAGGCCCAGGCACCCCACCAATACCCAGACCTCCCCGCTTCGGGTGCCGCCCCCAGGAACTGCGCCAAGTTCTCCGCGGAGCGCGAGACCGCAGTCCTCAAGGGCAGACCCGGGCAGTAGGAGAGTATGGCCCCCGTCACCTCCCCCACTCCATGCACCCTTGGGCAAAACCTTACTGGTTGCCTGGCCCGACTCAGGCTGCCTGTAACAGGGTTTCCCCAGTGGGAAAACGGGAAGCGAGGAGAAAATGGGCCTTTGTGTGTTTCCTTATGCACAATCAGCCGGGTGGGCGCAAGTCCACTGGGGAGGGGGCAGCCGCTGCATCTGTCCCCTGCCCCAGCTCCCCGTCTGCCTCGCGCTGGGCGCAATTCAAACCCCTTTCCCAGTTTCAGATTGGTTTCAAATTCCCCAGCCCCAACTAGCGCCCCCAAAACCTGTCTTCTCCTTTCCAAAGAAGGGCCAGGCATGACTGGGACTTGCCTTTCCACTTCTCCAATTCAAAACAAAGAGCAATTTCCAAGGGAAATGAGGACCCAAATGATAACCAAAGGAGGAGGAAAATCGATGGGTTTGAAGGTAAATGGCAATGCTTTAGATTGTTCTGCAGCTCTCTGGAAGTGACAGCATTTTGTCAAGCATTGCTACTGGAGAGCCCACAAAGCAATCTTACATTGCTGGTGTCCTCACAGGGGCTGGTGTCCAGCTTTAAGTTTTCATCTATCCTAGGATGGCAGTCTTCCCTGAGAAATCGCAGAGGCAAAGCCCTCTCCTTCCTCAACCTTTCGCCCTTCCCCCCCCCACTCTCGCGCTCTCTCCACCTAGGCTACCACTGTGTAATTCCACGTCTGAGGCAGATGCTCCATTAGGAGCAGGAGAGAGACAG